CATTTTAATTTTTTCAAAAAAGATTTTTCTATTATTTGAGGTAAAAAGGAAAAGGGGATAGATTGTACGATGACTAATGAAATCGCCATTGGCAATAATTAAAAATGTCCATTGGAAATTTCTTTTTTGAAAATAGATTGGCAGCAATGCCTGTTATTTCATTTGCCATATACAGATTATACACACATAAATACACTTTAAATATAATCTCTTATAATTTCATACATTTTTTTTTCTAATAAAAAGTAAATATTAAAGGGATTATTTTGCTAAATCTCAGATATTTTGTGAAAATGGAAATTATATTTAACAGTTGAAATAGCAAATAATGATGTAATAAATCAGTTAAATTGAAAAGAAAAATTTATTTGGTAGTTCAACATAACATTTTCTTTTCATTGAATAATATTCTTCAGTACTTAAAAAAGAAATGGTTGTGATAACAGTTTAATGTGAAAAATAATTTCAATAAGTTATAAATTTTTAAATTGAAATTAACAATGGTAGGAAATGAAATTTTATCTTAAGCAAATTTTTTTCGAACAAATAAATTCATGCAACATAACTGTAAATGTTATCATAATTTTACGCATATCATTTGTATTGTCTGCTCTTTAATATCCAATCAATTAATTGAATTCAAAATATTTTAATATAAATTTTATATGAAGAAGATGAAAGGAAAAAAAATAAAATGAAGAGATTTCAAAAAAAAAAAATGTATGACGCAAACAGGATTTTTAACTTGAAATTCAAAGAAAAAAATTATTGAATTATTGCTATTGCGAGTAAAAAAGCAGTGAGGTGACATTTTGTGACAGCTTTTTTCTTTACATAAATAATGTTGAATATTTTTGATGGAATGAATAATTTTTTTGGGGACTATAAGACTTAAGAATGGAAAAATGGTAAATTATGATTTTGGCTAATATTTAATTTAAACAGCGACACAAGCAAATTGCAGTAAAATTATTTTGAAGAGTAAGAAAATGATAGAAGAGAGAGACTATGAAATATAAGTGTGATAGGGTAAGAAGAACTGATATGGATCAGAAAGAAATGATACGCTAATTTCAGCGATTTATCACTGAAACTATCGTATCATCAAAAAATGCAAATAAATGATGGGCGGATCGATGAAACAAACTTGCAGAAAAAGTAAGAAGTAATATGAATTATATTTAGTTATGAAATTTTAAATTCAAAAATTTTAACTTATAATCATTGGTTATGGTTTATAATAAATTATGCAATCCTAAAAGATGACTGATAGCACTTCCAATCTATGCTATTATTAATAAGATGGCATAATTTAAAATGTTCAAATTTTTGAATTGCAGCAAAAAAAGAGTGGCAAAAATTTGACAAAAATAAAAGTAATGATAAATTTTTTTAATTTATAAATTCTGATTAAAATATGTAAATGGGCGTGTTTATTGGACTTTATAAACTCATAAGAGTAATTTGGTGGATATGAACTGTGAGATGAATATGAACAAATTTTTCTTCCAAAACATTTTCACATTCTCTGTTAGAAATAATATCGAAGTTTTGATATTTCCTTCAAAAAAGTTATTCAAAAATTAAATTTGCGAAAATAAAATTTTTCAAAATTGTTCGCATAAATTTTGTCACATTTCGGGGAACTTATTCTTTTGTATTTTATATTTAATTTTACCGTAAAATGTTATACTTTGATACACTTAACTTTGCTACTTTCTATAAATTTAAGTTTTCAAGCAATGATGAAAATTTCTTCTCATACGATAACAAAAATAAAAAATAAATAAATCTACAAAATATATAAAAAACGCATTTATGGCAATCTTTTAATTTTTGGACTTTTAAAACTTATTCAATAATTTTTAGCACTTATTATTACTAAAAATAACAAAGTAATGACGCTAAAAAATAACAGTACTAAAAAGAAAATATATTTTCTATGGAGCTTTGTTTTTTTTAAATTAGAAAAACTAATATCAGAATATTTCAACAGGAAAAATTGCGAATATTTCTACTGTTGCAATTCTAAAAAATTTACATAAATATTTCAAACATTTTTTTGCTCTTTAGCCCATTGCAAAACATTTCAAGATTATTATAAGACGTTATATCAGTTCCAAAGTTAAAACTTAAAAATAAGTTACTTAAAAATAAGTTGCTGATCATTTCCACGTATTCACTATAAGTTAAATAAAATTGAATTCCTGAGTAATAGACTATCTTAGATTATTGTTGAATTCGTGCAATTAATTGCTAGCAAATGTTTTCATAAAAGCTTCCCGTGAATATCCCATTGTAAAAGATTCTTTCTTCTAAATATTCTAAACATAATTACAATATGTAATTGAATCATTATTTGTTGGTAAATTTTAATTTTAATCCACCTAAATAAACAGCAATTTTGAATTTACTTTCTTTGTTTAACCAACTTTTTGCATATCCAGTTGAAATCGAAGATATACAGCATGGAAATTATTATTTTAAGAGAAAGAAATCCAGAATTTTAACTCAATTTTGATATATTCGCTGAATCATTCATGCATGTGCAATGCATTCAATCATTGGCGCAAATGTTTGTCGCTGCTGTCGCTGTGATTTGGTACTGGTACAATTAGGAAATTGAAAATTTTGTTAAACTTGAGGGAACAAAACTTTTCATATGCTTAGAAATTTTGTTTAATTAGTAAAATTAAAAGTGACAAGAGAAAAAAATATATAATAAAATGCTTTAAAATTGAATTGAATTATACATTTTTAATTGGTTAACTGAAGAAATCGTATAGAAAAAAAAACTTTTAACTTTTTTTAATCAAAATAAAATATTCTTTTTTATCTTCTATAAAAAAATGTAATAAATAGCTCGAATTACTCTTTTATATTACGTATATGTGCATAAATAGTCTTTTCATGCATAAAATATAAAACTACTCTATTGATAAACTTATCATGATCTTTAACTCACTTTATGTTTTGTTCCAATTTGAAACGAAATTTCGATAATTCACTTCATTGGAACAAATAATTATTGTAATAAATTATTTGCTTTATTTTTATTTTATTACTTCAGTGAAGCAAACAAATTTCTTGGTGTTTGCACACAATGAAATATACAAAAGTATACATGCATAAATAATATTTTTAAAACACAAAATTTGCACATTCATTTCTGAAAGTGAACATGAAGTAAAATAAAATTACAGCTTTTAGTTAGTTTTTTTTTTTTTTTTTTTTAAAAATTCCATCTGAAATTTCAAAAATAGAAAATGAAGATATGATGAGAAGTGTATTAGTTAAATTATTCAATTTAAATTTGATGAAAGAAGAAGAAATTCATGGTAAATATGTGGTAAATATAATGACAAATTCTGTTAATTGCAAGTTTACTATGACTATTAATAATTATTATTAAAATAATATTCCTATTGTAATAAAATTAAATGTAATCTTCGGGAAGGATAATCATTGGTAACAAATATCATATATCTTATCACTAGAATTTAAATTTTTTTGTAAATTTAAATTACGCAAGAAAATTGAATAAATTCCGAAATATGATAAAATCGGAAATATGAAAAAATTGTAAATTCTAAAAATAATCATTGTTATTAATTGGTTTATTGGCAGTCAGTGTCACCAAAAGTGTTTTACTCTTTGGAAACCGAATGTAAATATTAATTCTAAAATAAATAGGCATAATTTCTCTCACTTCAATATTTTTGTGGATGAATTTGTAAAATAACAAAACTTGAATATTCAATTGTACGCCATACATTCCGTCATACGTTAATCGTAAAATGATAAAACTTATACCGTAAGACAGGCTAACACAGTGTTTAATCACTTTTTTTTTAACAAGATAAAACAATACTTGAAATAATTTAACTAATAATGATTTAAATGAGTGAATAAAAGCATTGATCATTTTTCGATCTGAATTAATAAATCAATGAATTTTGTCTATTTTAATATTTAAAATAACAAAATTTAAATCAATAAACAATCGATTTTTGAAAAAAAAATTATATAATATAATTATTTGATTTGATGTTTTCGTTTGAATTTGATGCGATATTATGCATGCATGCGATCATTACGAGTTGCACATATTATTAATAATATAGTGAATTATTCGTCATTGTAATCACAATGACAATACAAATAATTTCATATTACAAAGAATTATAGATGGTTTTAGGTTCTCCGGAAAATTTAAGAAGCAAGGAAAATTATCCGGAATTTAATATTTTATAGCGGTTCTACTTGGGTAATTAATTACCATTATTATTGCCGGCGAGAATAACCAAATTCATAATATTTATTGAAATAAAAAAAAATATGTGAAATTTTTTGATAAAATTTTAATTTCCTGAATTGATGTATTCTGAAAATTTAAAGATATGAAAAAAGGCCAAAATAATTGCAATTTTGTAATATATTTGAAATTAAAAATAACCAATTTCAAAATTTTTTTAAATTATATTCAAAAGGTTTCAAAAAAAAACTAATTGGATTTAACATTTAATAGAGTAAATTTTATATCAGAGGGAATTTTCATGAAATGTGACATTATTTTTTCCATATTCTTTATTTCAAATTTTCATTTCATGATTTATTCCGAATAAATCTATAAATCGCATGAATTTTCTTCTTTCTTTTTTTGCAAATTGTTAATATCAGATTTTACAAATTTTCACTTTTCCTACTTCTAATTTTACTCACTATTAAAAAACAGCATTTCATACATTAACCAAACTTTAACTTTTAGAAAAAAAGAATACTAATGGAATACTAATGAAAGAAAAAAAAATTAATATTCAAATTTAGTCTAAAATGCTAATAATAAAAAAAATTAATATTCAAATTTAGTCTAAAATGCTAATTTTAGTAGCATGCAACATCATTCCCACCTATGCTTTTAAATTATCTTAATGGTGGGAAATCAGTTGACGTCATTTTATTTCAATTTACAAGTGCAGCTATTCAAATAAAAAAGTAAGATGTCAGCAGCAGAAGAAAACCAACATAAATCCTCAACAACATCTTCCTTAACAAGCCTAACAGCATCACAATCATCAATGCTGTGGAATATCCGATATTTGGAAATGGAAATAAAACATATCAATGACGCCCGAGATTCTCGAATTATTAAGGTTTGTCACTTGGAAAATTTTTCAAAATTAAAATACGAAAAGGAAAAATTTGTAATATAGTGATATGAAGTATTAATTAGCTGTCGATTAATTAACAAATTTCTAATAATTTTTATGCAGTTAAGGTAGAATTGTACACTTTCATCAATTTATTATTATTGAAGCAATTTCTTTTTCATCAACTCACTCATTTTCTCTTTTCTCTTTTTTTTTGTTAAATTTTCATCCAACAACAAAAAATTTTCGATCAATGGATAGTTAGTGTAGAAAATGTTAGTTGTTTTGTATAATAATAAAAGATAGAATTTTAAAGGAATTTAAATTTTTAATGAGTGCAATATATACCTCTCAAAATTGATTTTTTTTTCTTTTGGAAAGCTTGTTTTTTTATGGAAATTTCACTGAATTAAATAATTATTTTGAACAACTATTATAAATAATATGCATTAATAAACTATTATAGCTACAATATCGCATCAATCATTTCAATGTAAAAATGTTCGAGAAAATTGAAAATATGGAATTGGAACGTAATCGTATAATATATGCAAGTAAAGCAAAAGTCAAACATTAATTATACTATTTTTTTAAATTTATTTTTAATATTATATCGGATATGATTTAAGTAACTTGGTAAAAATTTACAATTTTAATGTTTTGTTGCAAAATTAGTTTATCATAGTAGCAATTCGGATAAAATTGCTATAGATATGTCAGCTGAACTGATAATCAAATTGAGGATAAATTGATAATTAAATTAATTATCTATTTAAAAAAATTTGGCAAATGAAAAAATCACCGACATTACTATCATATTGCATACTTTATTATGACTTTGAAAGTTCATCTGAATGAAATGACATGAAATGAAATGAAATGAACATTTGTAATTTCAAAATTATTACGTAGCATATAATTATTCCTTTACATAGTTGGCAATTATCTTATAAAAAGTTAAAATATGTAAGATTTTTTTTTGGTCAATTTTTTTAATATCGATTTTTTGATTTTGAAAGCCTTTAAATTTATGTTTTTCGAAAAATAATTTTTAAAATTAAAGCTTTCTGAAATACCAAAACAAAAATAAGCTATGAAAAATAAAAAGAATTTCGCTTTTTTTGTCTTTGTCTTTCTTTTCTCTTCTAAAATAGTAACGGAAAATTTAACAATGAAAATAAAAATAGAATTATTTTATTTGCATGTCAATGAATTTCAATGAAAATATTTGCATGCATGATTTAAATCAATTTCATCTTTTGTCATTTCGTTTTTTTTTTCTCCTTTCATTTGATAAGGAAATAACAAATTTTCATTTCTAATATTACACTTATCCATTTCCATATAAAAATGATTTTTTTTCTCTTTTTTCCTTCAAAAAAGGGAATAATTTATGATTTGATTTAAATCTTACGAATGATATAAATTAATTAATAATTTCAAAATTTTTACAGCATTTAAATTTTAGGCAAATTTTTCATTTATGCATTAATCAATATTTTTGTATTATTTTATGTAAAATATAAGCTTTTTTTTTAAACTTTTAAAGTTTTTTTTTTCTCTCACGAATGTTTCAAATTGCACATCCGAAAAAAAGCGAACAAAGATAGAAGTATTTAGGTAAGTAAGTTAAAGTTAATAATATCTTATTCAATTATTTTTGTTTATTTTTGCTTATCATAATAAAATGTATGAAAATGCGCAGAAATTACGATTGGCTTCATATTTATTCATGCATTATTATACTTTCGGTTAAAATTATTTTCATTTCTATCATTTTCTTCTATTTTCTTTTTATTGTTTGTGTTAGCTTCATTTTAAACACTTTTATTTTAAATTTCAATTATTTTTCATTTTTTGGTTTTTGAAATTTGTAAAACTTAAAAGAAAAAATTGATTGCATACATGAATGATGATCATTTTTGCTTTTATTTAATTTTCAATAATTGTTATTTTATATTTATTACTTGTTTACTTTTTGTACAGTAAATAATCTAAAATAAAAAAATTTTTCTGTTATTGTTTAAAAAAGAATTTTTTGCAAATCGTTTGATTTTTTTTTTCTTAATGATAGTAAAATGAATTTGCACGATCAGATGAATAATTTAATTCTCAAATTGTCGAATGAAAGGAATTGAAGAGGGAAAGATAAAAAAGAAGATAAGAAAGTTTGAAATTAGTTATACGACACACTCTCTTCATTTATTTAATAAAACTTTAGTATAAAAACATCCATTAACGACCAATTTTTCGAATTCTTAAAACATTCATTTAAATTGTCTTTTTTAAATTAACTTTAACTCCCTTTTTTAATCAATTTTTTTCGCAGCAAAAGGCTTTACAATTTTCTTTTCCTTCTTTTTTCCTTATCAGTACAATTTTCTGAAGAATGATAATATATTTAAAGGAAAGATAATAACTAAAAATTGATTGCTTTTAAAGAATTGCTATTTTGCTTAGCAGAAAACATATTTTGATAGAGCAAAAGAAGAGGAAAAAATAGAAGTTAAAATGATTTTTCGGCAATTTTGATAAAACTAGCACTTTGAGTTTAGAACATGCGTAAAAATTTTTTAATAATTACAGACGGTCAATTTAATTGACCATATCAAAAATGAATTTTATCGACATTAATAAATAGGTACTCTTCATCAATAATCATTGCTTTTAATTACTGGAGAAAAGAATTGAAGTATTAAATATATGGTAGTATACTTTGAACATGACTGAAAAATTTTTTCATGGTGACAAGTAAAAATATTCAGTAAAAGTTTTAAAGAAATCTCGGATTATTTTTGCATGATATTGCTATTCCTCCTTTTCTTTTTCATATGTATATATATAATTCATTATTAGAAATCTTACTATAACTTGTCTGTTGTAAAATTTTTGTATTTTTCATCATTTATTTATAGAAGTTCTTTCAATTAAAATTGTTAAAGAATTGAAAATCATTATTTGAACAGCACTATTATATTTTATTCTTATTTTACAATTTTTTTAAGAAATTAATGAAAAGTATGAGATGATTTCTTTTTCTTAGAAAAATATGAATTTTTTTTCTTAAAAGCTTTCAATTTGATTAAAGTTAAGTTCAAATTTCGTTGTAAAAAAGGACGAATGCTATCTATTAATACTCGAAGTTTTTAAATCATTGAAGAATTTGGTGGTAAATTTTTATTTGTTACAACAAAAAAAATTTACAAATTAGAAATTAAAAAAAATTAATTCAAAATTAAAATTTCCAAAATAATAATTAGTCTGACTCAAAATAATCAAAAAATATTTGCAACAAAAATAAATGTGTTATCATTTGAAATAACAATTATTATAAGAATAATCCAATTATTAATGATATTTCCAGTACAACATAATGCCATGTGAGGTTGTCAGTTAGCTATATGCTAACAATTGTGCTAGTTAATTGGATCCTCAACAGCTTTATAATGAAAAAATAAACAAGTGGCATGATTGTCGACTTTTATTGACGTTTATCATATTTCTTCACATCATTTTAACTAAAAAAGAAAACGAAATCATAAAAGTAATATATTTGAAGTTAATTTAAATTTCTTAAAACTCAATTTAATTGAAATTTTCAAGAAAAAAAAATAAATTAATTGCTGTTTCTATTTGATTAACATCGGAGCATTAATGCCTAATAATTTAGATGATTATTTAGCAGTGTTATTCATGATAAGTTTATAAGGAATCGTTATTAGGCTGATATTTACATTTTATATAATTTCAAATAAACTTGATATGACAGTTTAAAATGACGAAAGGAAAGAGTCATTGAGATAATGAGAAAGTATGAAAAATAATTTAAATTTGCCTAAATTAACAGGTTTCTTTTTGCTAAATTTAATTTGGCATTTTTTTTTCTTTTCTGTCCCAAAAGATTTAAAGTTTCGGTCCTAATATTTTTAAATCTTGGAGATGATCGGATATCGATATCAAATTTAGTTATTTAAATCTCACCATTTCTATCATTAACTATTATCCTTTTGCTATATTTACAATTAAAAAGATAAACGAGATTTTTCAAATATAAATTCCGAAATTAAGAAGTTTTTTCTTTCTCGATAATTTGAAAATTTGCCGCTAAATTTTCTCGGAATTTTTTCAATTTCTCCAAACAGATGTATAAATATTGTGTACATTTATTATAATATGTATAATTTAAATAAAATTCACTTCTACTTAATCCGTGTAAACCATTTAATTCACCTAATCATCATTGAAACTACTTACACAGAACATCTCAATCAAAATGGATTTCAGCTTATAAAAATAAAAAATAATTTAAATGGTTTTTCTTTTACCTTCTTATCTTCTTTTCTCTTCTCTCCATTTCTTCTATTTTTGATTTACAACCCTTTATGATAGTGTTTCCATTTCACTTTCATTTCCTTCTTCATTTCTGTTATGACATTTATCAATTAAAATTATTTTATTAGCACCTTTTTGATTTTAAAATTTTTTGCATTCACATTTTCAGAATTTCCCTTTATGAGTAGTTTCAATTTGAAATTTTTGCAAAAGATGCCTGATTGAAAGGTTTTTCTTCCTTCTTTTAACTTTCATCATTTTCCACTTCATCATTTTCATTTGTCAGAATTATTTTGATATTCA